TGATGAATGAGTTCCTCCACTTCTCCTTAGGTGTGGGTCGAGGGACAGATACTAGCTAAGTCACATTTAATATTTTTAATTTCTCCCCGTTTTCTGTATTATTTATATCATATAATAAGTTAATCCATTTTTATTTGTTTTAATCAAAGCTTGGGATAGGGTTTAGAATAAGAACATCATTGAAGGTGTGGGGTCTTGTGTAGATTATACACATTTGTTTTATTTTATGGGAATTAAAATTCATGTATTTCTTACCCTCATAAATTTATACCAACTATAACAACTTGATAAGCTTAAAATTTTTTGAAACAATCATAAAATTATAGGAAGTTGAAAAAATAATACAAAGACTTTTTGACTCCTGCCAATCCATTTGAAAGCAAGTTGCCAACATGATGCCCCCTGACCCAAGAATACTTTAACAGACTTACAGTCTAAGACTCTCTACCCCTGAACCACAATACAGCCATCAAAATCAGGCTTTGTCATCAGAACTTAACTTTGGTGTCTTACTATCATGTAATCCTCAGTCCCATTTAAGTTTCACCAGTTGTTCCAGTTACGTCCTTTATAGCACAAAGATCCAGTTGAGAATGATGTGCTGCATTTAGCTGGCATGTCTCTTTAACCCTGTAGGTTTGGCAAAGTTCTCAATCTTGAATTTCATGAACTTGACACTTTTGAAGCTTATGGGCAAGTTATTTCATGGAATGTTCTTCAATTCCGATTTTTCTAATTTTACCTTTCATTTAAATTCATGCGTCTTTGGAAGGAATATCACAAAAGTGATGCTGCTTTCTTCTCACTGCATCCTGTGGTACAGGATTGTGACTTGTCCGATCACTGGTGATGTTCACTTTGATAACTAGGTTAAGGTGGCTATCTGCCAGGTTTCGTCACAGCGAAGTTACTCTTTCTTCCTCTGTGGGTAGTAACTATCCCATGGTGAGGTAATTTAAAACAATGCAAACATCTCAGGCCTCTTCAGACTTTCCCGTTATTCCTTTATTTGTTTACGTCTTTATGAACTCATGGTCAACTATTTTATTTTGTGGACTAAAATCCACTACTATCATTTTTTAATTTTGATGCTAAAATTATTGTTGTGGGAGCCACTTTGATTGTTCTTATATTCTTTTGATATGTCTCCATTATTCCTTGGGCATTTCTTTACTTTCTGGCACTACAACACATTCTAGGTTCATCTTACACCTTCTCTGTCCCATTCTAGAGTTGGTCATTTTTCTAAGGAGACCTGTTTCCTTTGTAGTGAGAGTAGTATTTAGAAGCCAAGATTTGGATACTGAGTGTGTTCATGGCTATTGGGGTGCCACTGCTTTCAGAGTGTCTCAGAGGGAAAAACTAAAGAATATATGATAATATGCACACATACACATATATGTTTATTTCTTACTTTATCTATCTATCTATCAGTATATATATCAACATCCATGAGTTCATACCAACACTTTCAATTTCAATCCAACACCATTGAATTCTTTCTATTTTTTTTCCATTCCAGTATTTGTATCTTCCTTCTCCAACAGTGAATGGCACCATTTATACTGAATATACATGTACTTATTTGATTGTTCCCTGTATGTAACCAAGCTCCCATTTCCCCTGCTATTCCCTGCTCTGCATGGAAGCTCTCATCACTCTGCTTGGCCTCTGACATCCTGTGCCAGGTCACGCATCTATGAGGATGCTCCTTCGCTCTTCTAGGCTGACACTGTACTCTGGGTAAGCTTCCTACACGCATGACTTTCTTACTCACTTCAATTTCTGGCACCCTGAGCTGGGCTGTTCAGCTTCCCACGCCGCAATCCCTGCTGGCCTGTTGGTTGCTTTGCTGAACCCTATGCCCTACTTATTGGATTTATGATTAAATTGTTCAAGAAGGTAAGAAAAAGGGAAAACAACTCATTAGATTTTAAAATGAAAGGTCAAGCTTCTAAAATATTTAAGCAACTCAGTGTATTATTAAAAGAGAATGATGGGGTGTATTTCTGAAAACTTGGGCTTTTTTTTTTCTACTGTTAGTTTATAAAGAGTGCTGGATAAAGACAAAGTTTTGCTTGCAAAGTTAATTTCTGTGCCATGGAGAAGAAAGCCTTGATCGATAGCTTAGAGGTGGTGAAGGTGAGTGACCAATATAATTTCCACCAAAGACAAAGCTTTAGGACTTATTTCCCTTCCTTCAGTCAAGGTTCACTTAATCATACTTTTTTTTTCTTTGCAATGGTTACTTCTTCATCACTGAGAAATGGTCCTGGATTTTGTGATTGCAAAGGACTTACTTTTCTGTACCATCAATGTTAATGCTCTTAAGTAATATTTTCTTGAATGTAATAAGTCATGTAAATCATTTTTTACTTCACTAGGTCACAGAGGACCAAACACATTTTATATGAGGGATGGGGAGCCACTCACATAAAATATAACTGCTAGTGAGCAACACAAGAGCATAACAAAGTTAGCATCATCACACACAAGCAGGTCATGAGGTGACTGTGTGGAACCACAGGGGATATTGTCCGGGGCCCTAGTGTTAACACCTTACCATGCCATGTCCTTGCTCGATGGTACTTCTTTTCTGAGAATCAGCATGTCTCTAAGATTTGCTGTAGTCGATCAGGCAAATGCAGGGTGCCATTAATGTGATAGAGCCCAGGAGCCCCCACAGAATTATTGCAGTCTATCGTGTCAAGTTCTACTTTAGAGAAATTTTTTGACTTTATGGATCATTGATTTGATAAATCAAAATGGGTCCTTTAAAGCTCTCATGTTTTATCGGGTTGGTAGTCTTATCAGTATTGCATGCTCAATGAAACTGTCCCTCCTCGAGTCTGGACACCTAGGAAGTAACCAGTGTCTTTTCTTGATGAACTAATGAAGTTACTTGTTTCTGTCATTCATTCCACGAAGTAGAGACTTCACTTTTTGTCTTATTTTTTGAATATTATTGCTGAGAAATGCGCTTCCATTTCACTCTGTGGAATGCTTGAAGTGATTTTTGAGGCTTTCTTCCTGGAAGTCTTAATACTTAGGAGACAAATGGCTTATTATTGAACTTGGAGCTGGAAGACCTAGATTTGAATGCTGACAGTGCTGCTTATTAGCAACATGGTCTCAGTTTCCTTATTTGTAAAGCCGGGTATTATCATTATCTCACAACGGTTTTTCTAAGCCTCAATTAAAAAAATTTAAGTTAAAGTCATTTCAAGACTTGAAAGCATCATACAAATGTAAGGCATTATTAGTATTTTGTAAAAAGTCATTACTTTAGAGGTGAAAAAAACAATTCATTAAGAAAAAATCCAAATGAAAGCAAAGTAATACATAAAATTACCTTAAGAACTGTTGAGAGAACTTTGGTTTTACAAATGTAAATTTGTTTTCCGGTTTAATAAATGCAAACACACTTACTCTTTTAGTGTTTAACTAGTACATTCTAAAAAAGTTTCAAAAATGTTTGTTCCAAGAAGTCTTTGCCTTACTTTGAAAGCAAGTTTAATTTCAAGGACAATATACCTATTCTTTCCCTGTATCATCTCTGGGCAATAAGTTGAAGAGTCTATTAATGTAAGGGGAGGTGTTAGTCTTACTCAGAATGAATTGAACAGTTGATTCCTAGTCAGCTGGCACATATTCTAAGAGAGTGAAAATGAGGAACAATGGCTTAGAGACTCCAGGAGACGCAATCAGATGGTACCATAAAATAAGCCAATCCTTGTAACTCTTTCAGCCAATATTAACTTATGAATGCATTAAAATTCTCCATCTTTGGAACTGTATTGGCCCCAGCAGACTGGAAGATATTTATCTCCCTAAACAAACCTGGGGTATTAGACAAAAGAAAGTATTTTGATTATCATTGTCATAAAGGAGACCATGAACTTAGAGTGTCCTGCTCATGATTTCCAGTTGTCACCAAGAAGACCAACTTAATCTGAGTCTCCTTGAAAGCAGAGCTTGAAGCTAATACGTGGGCACCCTAGTTTACTTGGGAGTTAATCCCAGGAGGCAGAAGGAGGGAGTGGGGGGTGAGACACCCAGTGGGTAAAGGGCGGGCTACTGAGCTGACTACCTCACAGACAAGTGTTGCTCAATTCTATTGGAGCCCTTTTAGAATTCACCTTAGAGATGCTCCAGTGAGTACAGGGTGGCTGACTCAACTATCCATTGATTCTTGTCTCCCGTTGGTTGGAGACCGCCCCAGAGGTGCTTTTGCATCACACACTTCCAAGCTGTGCCTATGTGGAGGACTTGTGAGCTGAGCTGCCTGGAGTGACTTCAGAGAAAGTCTCAAATCTGAGAGGGGTCAAGGCACATACTGAAATGGGATGCTGGTCACCTGCACAGTATTGTTCTTCACTGCTGTGCTGAAATCTGGGGCACCAGGTGATGTGGCCAAGTGTGTCTGCTACAAGGAAGAGAAAACAGATAGTGTAAGAGAAGCCAGTATCTAATTATTTATTACAAAGGTGAGATAACATCGTAATTGTAAGATCACAGGCTGCACAGAGTGGAAAATGAACATTAAAGGCATTTCTCAAGGATTCGTCAGAAGAGAGAATGCTGTGATTCTCATGATTAATGTTGAGTGTCTACATTGATGTGTTTCTGTAATGGCTGAAGTCTTACAAGCTCTTTTAGTTTGCAGAAAACACGTTTTCAGAAACACAATGTCATATGTTCTGATCCTCAGTTAGTTAAGCAACGTCTGATCTGTGATTTGGTGTCCTGGGGGACCTACCCTCGGAAAGGGAGCGTCCTGTGCAAATGGACATTTTTCAGAGGAAGCTCCCAACACATGGAGTACCATACTGGAGTTCTGGTTTGAGGAAGCCTCTTGGGGTTTATTATTGTGTTTTGAACTCTTATCATCCTGGAGAAAACCAAATAGTTGTAAATTGAAGGGTTATTAGGTTATAAGCATTTCATTGAATCTGAGATTTTGCACAACCATCATCTAATCTCCATCCCTTATCTTACAGGGGTCATAGGAATTTTATAATTTATTTGACATCAATTTGTGAATGGGCAGACTGGGACTAGAACCTGTCCCTCCTGGAATTCTGGTCAGTGTTCTGCCACAGCATCTTAGATAATACGCACTTGTCAATTTGCATAGTCAATCTTTCACTTTTGTGCCACGCAGGGTCACTGTTTAAGTAAGCAGTGATACACTTCCTGACCTTTAGAATTTTAAATCACTGGGCTTAGTGAAATTCCCCAGACACCTTTAAGAACCTGTGGAAAGGAAAATGAATGCAGGCTTTTGGAGTGTTTTGAATACCAAAAGCCCAAACTGCACATGTAAATGACAGGGGTTTAAAAAGAATACCTTAACAGCTGGCTGAATAAATCAACCAAACTTGAAATGTTCACTTGCCTGTGGAAGCTTTCTTCTCGGGAGTGAGAGACTCCTTGGGGGGAAAAAGGGTAATAGGTAAGCACCTTCACCTCTCGCCACCTCGGGAATCGGAGTGAGCTGCGTAGTTATTCATGTGCACTAGAGATAACGTAACACAAAACTAACCTTTATAATCCAGGGAGGCTCATGGTGTGGAATTCAGACCGCTGGGATCTTCCCGTGTCTGGGCAGGCCTGGGGCTTTACTGTCAAAGAAATTTCTGCAACAAAATAATCTACCAGCTTCTGAAGTTGGGATTTCATGAAGGCGCTTCATGAATTTGGCTTATACTTTTGTTGCTGGGGAAATGAAATTTCCACTGTTTCCTCCTGTTTGGCACCAGCCCCCCCGCCCCCCAGCCGATATCTCCCCATGGCTAGCCAAGGGCTTTCCCTGCTGTTTGGGAAGGAGGTGGAACCTTGTTTTCCGTTATACAACTTCCGTGAATCACTCAGGGTCCTTGGAATTGTCCTTCCAAAGCATGGCAAGTGAAGAACTAACCCAGACTCAGGGGAGGGGGGATGATACCAACTCTACGGTGCTTGGATCACTGGGATCCAGATGTGGGCATCTGTGGCAGCGGGTGATGCCTGGGGCGAAGGCGATCTGTCGCTCTATTCAGAGCAGCCACAAGCAGCCCTGAGAGTTCAGCCCGGCCTCCACTTGCAGGGGAGACGTCAACAGGGGACGTGCTCCTTGGACTCCGGGCTTCTGCCAGGGATGCCCTTTCCTGGCCGCAGGCTCTTGAGGGGAATGAATAACGAGAGACCAGGCCAGAGGGATGACAGAAGCAGTGAAGATTGATGGGGGCTCTTTCCTGAAAAGGTTAACAGAAACTATAGGGTGTGATTTATTGAAACAGTCAGAGTGAAAATGCTTGTATATGGTACTCCTATGTTTTAATTACAATGGTTATTTTTATGATTAATGTTCATATCCATATTTACTGAATAAGAGCAACGTACACGGTCAGATTAGTGCTGGAACTCATGCTGGATAATAAGCTTTAAGAAAAACCCTTTCATAATAGAAAATTTCAAACATATTCAAAGGGAGAGAGAGGAACAAAATGAACCCCATGTACCCATCCCTTCTCTCCAGCAATTATACAATTATCAGGGCGTGGCCAGTTTTATTTGACCTATACCCACTCTCCATCACGTCCCGAATCGTGTTGAAGCAAATCCCAGATGTAGTACTTCATCTCTGTCAGCAGTCTTGACAGTTTTTTTTTAAAAGACTTAATGCTAATAAAAGTACTATACCCAGAATTTAATAATTTGTTAGCATCACGTAATGTCCAATCTCTATTCGAAATTTGCTAATTTCTGTATGTCAGTTTGTTTACATAAAGACCCTTAGGAGACCTACACATGGCACGGGGCTGGTATGGCACTTAAATCTCTTTTCATCTCCACTGGTTCCCAGTCTCTCTTTCTGTTCTTTTTCTGGCTTATTTTTATCGTTGCTGTTGTTGTTATTAAAAAACAAAACAGTTTGGTTTTAAGGCAAAACATTGTCATTTAAGCTTACACATCAATGTTACTATGATTGGTTTATTTGTGTTAAAAAATGATTCAAGAAGACAATTTAGGTGATATAAACAAACTTTATTTTAAGCACATCATGAAGCAGACAGTCTCCTTGTGGAGAACTGCTAAACGGAGCAGAAGGAAGGAAGCTTGTAGAGGACAAGGAGTAAAGAACAGGGAAGGGACAGAGAGAAAACACCTGGTTGGCTGGGGCCACGTCGTCAGCCCAGTTTGGGGCGAGAAGGCCCTGAGTTGGCTTGGCATTTGAGGATCGAATGACTGGATGGTCCGTGTTTCTGGTCCAGTAAAGCATTTACAGGGGCACAGAAGTTCTCTGAGTTTCAGTTTGCTGATACGGCACCCGGGGCAGGAATGATTCTGTCTTGAAACGACTTTGTCCCGAAGCCATCAATGCTGGTGCCCACCAGACCTGCTTTCCCGCCATCCCACGCTCCTGGAGGGCCGTGTTTGTTTCATTCTGTGGGTGTCCCTGGCTTATCTGTAGGCACTGCTTCACGGTGACAAGCTTTCCATCTGACCCTGTGTTGCAATATCCTGATCACTTTGGCCCGTAGTCACTCGTGGAACTTTGTAGTAACCTGCATGTTGGTGCACAGGCCAAAGCAACTACGAGTCAGCAAATCAAAGCAGGTTCCCACAGAGGGGAGATGTGTGGGTTTAGGGGCAGCCTGGACCCGAGGTTTGAAACCGAGTGACAAGGGCTGGCTGTGTTCTTTGGGTCAAGGACTTAACTGCACTTACTCTCGGTTCCCTAACCCTCACCTAACCCTCGAGTGTGATGCTCTTATTAGCTGCCGTCGAGCTATGTTGTTGGGGGTAAATGAGGTGATGTTGGGGGTCTTAGCTGGGTGCTCCCACACAGTGAGCACTGAGTAAATGTGAGTGTGATGACTGCCGTGGTGCTCCACCTCCATCATCATTTTTTGAGTATGTTTCATTTTCTTACACGTCCAAAAAACTACAGTTTTAGATTTACAGAGTGATTGAATAGATAGTACTTAGCAGTTCCATATACCCACCCGCCTTCCCATTTTCTCCATTATTGTCCCATTATTAATATCTTGCATGTATGTGTTTCCTTTGCTACAATCCGTGAACCAATACTGATACGTTATCGGCAACTACAGTCTTGCATTTCCAGTAGGGCTCACTCTTTGCGTTGTATGTGTTCTGGGTTTTGACAAATGCGTGATGTCATGTATCCACAAATCAGTTTCAAACAGAAAAATTATAGCATCCTAAAATCCCCTGGGCTTCACCTATTTATCACTCTGTCCCTCTCCCCAAGCCTCAGGCAGCCACTGGTCATTTTACTGTCTCTATAGTTCTGCCTTTTCCAAAATGTCATATAGCTGGAAGCAGACGGTATGTAGCCTTTTCAGGCTGGCTTCTTTCACTTAGCAGTATGCTTTAAAGTTTTATTTTTTTTAATGCGTTTGATTTACAATGAATGGAAAGCATTACACAGTGCATGATCTTTGTGGAGACACTGGGAGCTGCTTTCGACCACTTAACCTCCTTCTTGGTATCTTTCTTCCTATCTTATTAGAATGCATGCAGTTTCTAACTCTAAGAGTTATTCCTTGGAATTTGTAAGGCCTTGTGTATAAAAAGCCTCTGTCTAAATAGCATGCTACCTTAAAAAAGTAACTCATTAGCATCCATTAAGCCTTATGTGTTAATTATAACCATGAAGTTTGAAGGTTATGGCTGAATGATTTATTACTAAGAAGCCAAAGTCTTCTAGATGTCTGATTCCAAGGACAGAGCTTAAATTTGAGTGATTCTAAGGATGCAAAAGTATCAATAAATTATGGGATCTTCCCTTCCTCCTCTTAATCTTATCCTAAACTGCTACTATTTCATGATATATTTAAGTGTTAATCATGTCAGATACTGAGGCCATCAAAGATAGTCTAAAAATAGTAAGTCTCTGCTGCCTTTTTAGAGCTTTTATGGGAGAACTGGTTTTCTTTGCTTTCCCCTGAGAATCTTGCTTGGCTGTTGTGTCTGTTCTGATGTTCCATTCGTTGGTCTCAGGTTGGAAAAGTGCCATGGAACCTCATGTTTAACCAAATGATATTTTTGGTATATGATCCTTATCTTTGATTTTGATTGTATTTTGTATTCTAGCATATTATCCTGGTTTTTTCCTTCCAAAAATTAAAACATATTTAGGGTCCAGGTTTTGCCATGTTGAGTTCTAAATCCTATCTGTTGGCTAAGTCTTTCTATGATCTTGTTGAATTGTCAACAGAGGCAGTGGATGACCGATAAATATGTTTTTAGTCTCTCTAACAGAAAAGTGGAGGAAGGACCATACTTTGCATGTCCACACCACCTGACATCATCATTCTGACTTTATTCATGAATGTTATTTTGCAATATGTGAGACCCAAGACAAAGTCTACTTCTCTTAGCCCTAGTTTGGCTTCCAAATAAAATAGTCTGTTAGTTCATTCTAAGATATCATATCAAAGTCTTATCATTGTGCTGGTTCTAGCTAAGATTCAGACCAGGTGGCAAATGGATGAGGCACATTTTGATGGAGGAAATGGAGAGAAATCCAGAGCAGGGGAAGGAGGGTTAGGCTGCTTCAACTGGGTACCTCAGTTGATCCTCAGGAGCCAGGAAGCTTTAGCTTCCCACATGTGGTTTGGACACTGAAGCTGGAAGTGATAAAGGCTTAGCAGGTAGGATACAAACCAGATTCTTCCAGTTCACAGCTTTGTTTTGAGAGCAGCCCAGAGCACACCAAAGGAAGCAAATTCTCATCAGAACAGAACTTCAGCACTCCCGTTGTAAAGGCTGGTCTCATGTAGGTATGTCCTTGGGATTTATCGTAAGTAGACTTGATTCCATTTAAGCAATGTTCTAGCAATTTGAGAACCCAGGAAAACCTCAACCACTCTAGACCCAGCTGGGAAGCCTGTGATGGCCATACTGTGAATACAAGCATGAACCTGAGGGATTCATTCCAAACTGAAGTGGAGGATCCTCAAGTCCACTGATTCTTAATCAGTAAGCATTAGACCACCTGTGTCGGAAACTGATGTATGTTAAAATACAGATTTCTGGACCCCACCTCAGACCGACTGGAACAAAGGTTCTA